ACAGGTTAAAGCAAAAGAGTAGCGTTCTTAGGTGCAGAGAGTGGCTCCCTCTGTTGAATTTTCCTGATGTTTCATTGTTTGATTTCAACTTGGTCTGTACCCATTTCCTTTACAGAATGAGGAGAAACCTGTGCAAATGATGTTTAAGAGGTCGACTTTTAAGACAACCTATATAGGAGAGATATTTACCAGGATTCTGTGGCTTCCCTATGTGGGCAATGAGCTGAACATGGTTATCCTGCTTCCGGATGAGCACATGGACTTGAGAACGGTGAGGAGCGTGGGACCTTGACACCCTGCAATTCCAGAGAGTAGCATTTGGGTTTCTGCTGTGTCACCTCTCCCAGGTCACCTTTAGCACATTTTTATTTTTCATGTTATTGGGACAGTGGTGGAACCCAGGGCCTGGAACATGTTTGACAAACACTTCACCACTGAGCTGCAGCCCCAGTGTCTCCCAGCTACCATCTTCACCTCCAGCCACACTTCCCTGGGCAGTGTAGAGCCTCCCCATCATCACTAGTGGCCCTGTGTGACAGCTCTGTCCTGCAGCTGAAAGCCTTCAACTCTCTTCTAGGTGGAAAAGGAACTAACTTACGAGAATTTCATGGAGTGGACCAGACTGGACAAGATGGACGAAAAAGAATTGAAGGTTTTCCTGCCTCGGTTTAAACTGGAGGAGAATTATGACATGAAAGATGTCCTTTGTGGTCTAGGCATGACTGAAGCCTTTGATCAGGCCAGAGCAGACTTTTCTGGAATATCATCCAAGGAAGGCTTGTCTCTGTCCAAGGTTGTACACAAGGCCTTTGTGGAGGTCAATGAGGAGGGCACAGAGGCTGCGGCTGCCACAGCTGCCACGGTGATGTTTAAACGTACGTCCACCTACTTCTGTGCCGACCACCCCTTCCTTTTCTTAATCCAGCACAAGACCAATGGGATTCTGTTCTGTGGCCGGTTCTCCTCTCCCTGAGGGAAGGGTTGTGTGTGTCAGCCCACTGCCTTTTGCCCACCCTTCCTTCCACTCTCCATGATTTATCTGTGAACCAATAAATGCAACAACAATTAGACCCTTAGAAATAAAGAAACTTACGGTGGGATCCCACCTTCAGAACTGTGTGTCTGTGTGCACGTTGAGGGGTTTTCTAGGATCTGATGTTGCACTTCTGAGAGCCTATGGTGCTGCTGGCTACAGTCATTTCTTCTCGAGGACCCTGTGAGAATGAAGTGGGGCTTCTCCCAGCAGTATCAAAACCTCACCCTACTTTTCGTGAGTGAAACTAGTATAATGGAAAGCTCTGAGACAGCAGGGACCATGCTCTGATGGCCCCTGTGGGGCTTTCTGTGCTAAAGTCTGTGCACAGAGAGGCAGGAGGAGCAGGTCACAGACCCATGCTCCCTTTCCATGTGTGTCTGCTGTCTAAGGGAGAGCTGGCTACATACCACTCAGCAGCACACTGCTCAGTTTCTCCTGGTGGTTAGCGTCATGCCTGACCATCCAAGGGAATACTGCTTGAGTAAACACCAGGTGCCTTTCTATTTCCCAGAAAGTATTACAAGTAAAAAGGTGACTGAGATGCCTGGAGTGATGGCTCAGCAGTTAAGAACACTTGTTCTTCCAGAGGATGCGGGTTCAGTTCCCAGCACTCAAAAGGTAGCTAACAACCATCCGTAACTCCAGTTCCAGGGAATCTGACACCCTCTTCTAGCCCCCATTGGCATTGCATACATTTGGTATACTTACATATATGAGGTAAAACATTCATACACATAAAATAAAGATAACAAATAATTTTTTAAGGTGACTGAGGTTTCTGTAGTCACATGTGCCATTTTCTAGAAATGCAGTTGCAGCTTGGATGACAAAATTCAAGAAGAAGGGCTTGTGTGGGAGAGTCACATTGGTATTCTAAGGGAAGGCTGCGGTTTGCAGCAGCTGTGATCCCTTCTGACATCACTGTTGCCCACAGAATCCCAAGCTGTGGGGACAGTAGGATTGAGGAACAGGAGGAAGCATAGAGCTTAGAAGTGATGTGAAGAATGGGGAGAGATGAAGGCTTGCTACTTTGGACATTCACTCTTTGTCTTTTTTCTCTGACTTTGAGAAAAATAAGAGGCCAAAAAGCCAAGTGTTCTTGCTCATGCCTATAATCCCAGCAGTTGGCAGATGGAGGGGGAAAGATCAGTGTTCAAGCAAGGCTAACCTCAGCTACATAGCAGGTTCAAAGCAAGCCTGGGCAGCACTCAATTGTCTAAAAAATAAAACCAAACAAAAATATCTGAGTCTGGATACTTTTATTTAGAAAAGATTTGTTTAGGCCAGTAGTGGTGGCATATACCTTTAGTCCCAGCCCTGGGGAGGCAGAGGCAGGCAGGCAGATCTCTGTGAGATGGAGGCCAGCCTGAGCCACAAAGTGATTTCTAGGCAGACTGGGACTGGGAAACCCTGTCCAAAAAAAAAAAAAAGTTTTAGTTCACAGTTTTAGAGTTCTAGGAGTATGATTCCAGCTTCTGCAAGGTCAGCTGAGGGCTCAGTGGCAGACGGCATCACAATGGCAGGGGCAGTACAGGGCTATTGAGCAGTGTGAGGAGGTTTGGGTTCCCTAATAATCATTCTCACAGGAGCTAATCTGGTCCCCCGATACCTCTGAATTTTTTCCTGTACTGGGACCTTCATGGCCTGAGTGACTCTCACTAGGACCTTAATGTTCACCCTCTCAGCACTACTCTCCTGGAGACCAACCACTACCATCCTGGAGACCAACCCCCTACTACATGAACCCTTGGAGGAAGAAGTATATCCAAATTGGCATTTTCCTCCTCTATGTAGCACACCTGCCTGGTGTTTGAATTTTTTGATAAGTTGTTTGTTTATTTTTGTGGTGCTAGGGATTGAACTGGGGCATCATACAGGCTGAGAAAGTGCTCTACACTGAACTATTTCCATAACCCCTCCTTAAAGATATTTTGTTGAGGGTCTCACTGAGACGCCCAGACTGGCCTTAAACTTTCTCTGTAGCCCAGGTACACCTTGAACTTGAGCTTCTCCTGCCTCAGCCATCCATGTAGCAAGGATTACAGGTCTTCAACACTATGCCTAACATGTGAAAATGACTATCCAACCAAAAGCAATTTACAGATTCAATGCAATGCCAATTAAAATCCCCATGACATTCTTCATAGAATTAGAAAAAAAATCATAAAATTCATGTGGAATCACAAAAGATACTGGATAGCCAAAGCATTCCTGAGCACAAAGAGCAATGCTGGGAGAATCACCATAGAAGATCTTAAACAATATTACAGAGCTATAGTCATAAAAACAGCATGGTATCAGCACAAAAACAGACATGTACACCAATAAAACAATATAGAAGACCCAAAGATGAGTGTATGCAATTTCAGTCACCTGATATTTGACAAAAGTGCCAAAAACATACACCGGAGGAAAGATAACATCTTTAATAAATTGTGCTGGCAAAACTGGATCTCTACCTGTAGAAGAATGCAATTAGACTCATCTATTACCCTGCACAAAAGACCATTTGAAGCCCTCAATGTGAAACCTGAAACTCTGAAATTGTTAGAAGAAAACACAGGCAGTACCCTATCAGATATAGGTGCAGGAAAGGACTTTCTAAATTGTACATCAATTGCCCGGGAATTAAGGTCAACAAGTGGGACCTCATTAAACTAAAAATCTTCTGTACAGCAAAGGAGACAAACAGTGGGATAAAATCTTCACCAGCTACATGTCCAGAATATAAAAATAACTAAAAAAATCAAAGAATCAAAAATAATCGTCCCAATTCAAAGATGGACTATTGTAAACAACATTCTCTAAAGAAGTAAAAATTGCTAAGAAACAACTTAAAAGATGTTCAGCATCAAAATCACTTTAAGATTTCATCTTACCTCAGTCAGAATGGCTAAGATCAAGAGAACAAATGACACCAAATGCTGATGAAGATGTGGGGAAAGGGGAACGCTCATTCACTGCTGATGGATTGCAAGCTCATGTAGCCACCATGGAAAGCAGTGTGAAGAACTCTTTAAAAACTAAAAATGAATCTACCATATGATCTGGTTATACCACTCCTTGGCATGTACCCAAAGGATTCATCCTACTGCAGAGATACTTATGCATCCATGTTTGTTGCTGCTCTTTTCACAATAACTAAGAACTGGAAACAGCCTAAATGCCCTCGCCTAATGAATGGATAATGAAAATGTGGTACAATTACACAATGGAGTTCTACTCAGTGTTAAAGAAAAATGAAATCATGAAATTTTCAAGTAAATGGATGGAACTAGAAACTGTTATACTAAAGTGAAGTAACACAGACTTAGGAAAACAGGGAATGTGTGTCCTCTCTCATTTGTGGATCTTAGCTCCAAATCCCTATATATGAGTATATAATATGAACAGGAGTCAGGAAAATGGAAAGTAATCATGACTGTAAAGGGAAAGAAGGAGCTGGGGAGAGAGGGATAGTCAGAGACAGGTGTTACCACAGGGAAAATGGGGATGTGTAACTGGGAAGAAAGGAGGGAGGATTACACAAGGAATTGTGGGGGTAAAGGGGAAGAAGAAGCTCAAGAAAGGGAGGATAATAGTAGACGGGTATTATCACGGGGGGACTCTGGGTACTTTAACTGAGGAGGGAGGAGGGAGGGTTGGACAGAGACAAAGAAGAGATAGATGGTGTGAAAAGCCAGAGGGATGTGTCTTGGTTTGAAGACCGACTGAAAAACATACACACAGTGTCTGTACATTGGTGCATGTGTATGTAACAAGAGATACAATGCCAGACAAGAGAAATCTCCCTTTGAGTTGTTGGTCAAAGTAGTCCAATAAACTTTCAAAATATTCTAATCTATTGCCACAGCCCTTGACTTCCTCCCAGAACTTGAACATAAGACCCTCTTGCTGAAGGTAGAACTTACTGAAAAACACACACACAGTGTCTGTACATTGGTGCATGTGTATGTAACAAGAGACACAATGCCAGACAAGAGATATCTCCCTTTGAGTTGTTGGTCAAAGTAGTCCAATAAACTTTCAAAATATTCTAATCTATTGCCACAGCCCTTGACTTCCTCCCAGAACTTGAACATAAGACCCTCTTGCTGAAGGTAGAACTTTGAACACAGGACTTGGAATAGTGGAGCTGGAACTGACCTGGAAGCCTCCTCCCTGAAGCTCATAGTTAAGAGGATACTATACAAGTTGCTATGGGAGAAAATTAATCAATGATCCAACCCCACTGTAGAGCCTAATGAGCACAATGACCAGTACAGAAAATTATCTCCATTGACACAGTAGTGGCACTTTTATCTAGGGGGCAATCAACTGCTAAGTAATTGGACTTAAAGCCTGCTTAATGGGAAGGAACTCATGTGTAGTACTGTAAACACAGCCAAGTACACATGGCTGGAGAGGTCATAGATCCTAGCAAAAACTCTACCTCTGTCACATCCCTAGACAAATGTAAATTTTCTTGTATGCTAAATATATCCCCTTATATTTACAGGCTAAATATATGTTACCACTCATCAAAGAAGCTTCTTTTTGAAGCAGATGGAGACTATTACAGAATTCCACAACTGGTCAAACACAGAGAATAGGTGTCTTTGAGATGCCAAGCCCTAGGTCACACATCTAAAATAGAACCTCTGCACCTAAGGCTCACAAAACATAGAATATTAATATACCTCTCAGCTCTCACCAGAGAAGCTTCCTGGTATAGCAGAGGGGATTAACACAGGAGGCCACAATTGGCTGAAGTGTAGAGAATGAAAGACTACAGAGTGTCTGTCCCAGGACAGGACTCCTATATTAAACCTTAGCTACCCAGGGCTCAGGGACTATTGCAGAAGAGGGGGTGGAAAGTTTTTAAGAGCCATCAGTGGGTGGTAGATGACCAAGAGGAAACAGTTTTCCAGGCTTCTGGGAACTTGCTCATATGAACTTACAACAATGGTGTCAGCATGTGCAAGACCCATGCAAACTCAAACCAGACAAAAGCCCTCCATAGAACTGGGGAAATGGGCCTTAGCTGAGGGAG